TTTCAGAAGAACACCAGTATAAAAAGTTATCTCTAATTTTTTTTTTTTTTTCTTCAAATTGTCTTTATAACCCTTAACAAGATTTTAATCCCCCCCCCCCCCCCCCCCCCCCCCCCCAAAAAAAGAAAGATATGTTTTATCTAACTACAATTCTACACGTTTTTTTCATATCAAAATTTTTTTCATGCATTCAGCTATATACTATTCTGTCTGTATTCTAATACTACTAGTGTGAAGAGTTACAGTAGGCAATAATTGATATAACAATTTATATATGTCCTTTCATCTAGTTTTATTGATAGAATCTTGACTGAATCAGTTTTTATGACGAAAATAATTACTATTTGTTCATCGTACTAGGACGATAGCTCATTAAGAAAGCTCATATCGAATACAAATAGAATTGGCCTATTAAAGTCTTTAGAATGAATATGTTGCTATTGTTATTTATCGATCAAATGATAAGTCATTTGTTTAGCAAAAAACTTTGTTTCATGTCTAATCGTTGATGAAACACTTTTCACTGTGGTATCAATTTGCTCGAATATTGAACGAGAATCATTTTCAATATTGCTCAACAAGTATCAAACATTTACTTGTTGATATCAGTTTACCGACTATTGCAAGACAGAGCATCTCAAGAATTAAAATTTAAACTCTTATTATTATAATTCAGAACTCATATTACAAATGAATTATGTTCACTGTGAAAGAACATAAGGAAACTTAGATATTCTAGATTTGAAATTTTGCTTATAATCCTATAATTCTATACTTGGTATTATAAAAATATCATTGCATAAAATTATGGTAATGAAACATTCTAGACTATCAAGAACGACTGTAAAACTTAATTTTCAACTAGGAATGTACGATCACAAAAGTTTAGAACACATTGATTTAGTTCATTGGCTGTGTCTATCAAAAAATAACATGCATAGAATTATTCTGAACAATATTGCAAACAATTAGGTTTATGTTACAAAAATTAAGAATATTTATTCGATATAATTATTATTTTTTGTTGAATTTTACATGTTCTTATTATAGTCCATCGGATCGAAAATTTTCGAACTCGAATCCGACTGTGTTCGAAACCAATTCAACAAGCTGTAGTTCTCACATTACAGATTCGCGTATCACCATTACTGTAAAAATAAATTCTAACTTCTGTTCTGTTGCTTACAATTTTTTGTTTATTTATTCATCTCATTCTTTCATCTGATGTGTAAAAAACTCATACGAATACATTGCCGTCTGAGTTAAATTATTAATTAATAAATGCGTATATAACAAAACAAAAACGACAAGCCATTAGAAAAATTGATAGATCATGAAATGAAACAACATGCGATATACATAAATATAATGATGTTGTATTCCAAATAATTGAATTGATTAATAAAGGTAAATTTTATTAGATTACATTAGTTAATAAAAATTTTGTTCAACAAGTTTTTTACATGAATTAATTGTCGATATGAATCACTGAGCAAACGATGACATTTTCTATAAATTAACAATTAAATTGCAAATCACGTCTGTTTGAACGGAAGAAAGAAATTCAAATGTAAATGGATATTATTCAATGAAATAGAAGAATACAAAATATGAAATTGCACGTCCGATAGGAAGTACTTTAGTAATGCAACAATGAATTGTTTTCCTTTTACATATAATTTTTAATATATAATCTTTCATTACATTTATATTTGTTTGATTTTAAAAAATTAAATGTATTTTTTTGATCTTCATAAACAAACTTCTTTTAAAAAGAATAGCACTCTTTACTTGCACCGAATAAAATAATGTCGTTAAAATAAATACTGTTTACTTATGAAATTTCATGTTTGTTTTTATAATCGAAACAATCATGACTTAAGATGACTACGTCTTAAAGCTAAGTCGTCTTTCGCAAAAATTTCATGCTACACGATGTAAACATATTAACTAATCAAAGGTCTCAATGGGTCGAGAAAAGGCAATCTCCATGAGTCACTCATCTAATTGCATTGGATAAATTTTTAATACATGAATCAGCAAGCATATTTTTGAGTACCAGTAGTTATTTTATCAAGAAATGTTCGGTAATATATTTAATAACTTGTAAAACTTTCAATTCTTTCAAATTCATTAGTATTTTCTGTTTTTTTAGTTGGAAAACCGAAAATTTTTCAACATAAAAATGTATTGACTTTTTCATTTTAATAACAGTACACGTCGATGGTTGTTATTTCAAAAGAAATTTGATCCGTTCGAATGTATACTGTATTGTATGTTCTAACAAAAAAGCTTACGATTGAAAAGGTTCAGTAGGAATAGAATTAGAGTTATTAGAAAATGTAATTGTCGATGAATGAATAAAACTAGGCAAGGACATTTTATTGAATATAAAGAAAGTTTTTTAAGATGTCAACAATTTTTTTTTTTTCTTTATTATACTTTATATATTTACTGTTAAATGCAGAAATGTTTTAGCTAATGGAAGAATTATATGAAATTTTCAAAAAGAAAAACTATAGAAATACTCATTATATTTTGAAAATTTTATATTTTATTCAAGATTCAGTCCATAGACGCCTATCGCAATACTGATTCGGTTCGGCTCAGTCCATTTAGACTTCTGACACTGATTATACACAAAAGACAGATAAAAAACATGAGAATCATTAGATTATTATTTATGTTCTACATTATATAAGATAGTACAAAGATGAACGGTGTCATTGTTAATGTGTATTCTGAAATAGATATTATTCTATCCATCCAACAGTACAATATATACCACATCGTATTGATATAATAGTGAGTAATGTTCAAAAAACAATATCTGACATGCGAAGCGTTTATACATTTAAGTAATTTTATTTTTGTTAATGATTGATTATTTAAAAATCAACGATTTATTATATGGTTTAGCAATGATTATTGCTATTGTTGCAATTGTACGTGTATCATTCTATGTGTTAATGAAAGAATAAGTTTGATTAGTTATTTTTTTAAGACTTCAAAAACGTAGAAACATTTGTTTATTCTCATCAAAATAATTGAATTATATTATCTATCTCCGTAAAGATTGTTTTCAGGAAAAAAAAAATTTTTTTTTTTCTATTTTCTATAGTGATTACAAGCAGTATTATACTGTCAATAACAACAATAGCAGTCACTAGAACACTAATTAAAACTATACTTGACAAAAAAAATAAATTTTAGATAACAAAACGGAAATTTTGCAAAACATTACCACTGTCGATTATACTTAAAATTATTTTTTCAAATTCTTATTTAATCATGGTCACAATGACGATTGGTATTATTTCAACGAGTGAACAAACTTACATAGTTACAATCGTTGATAATGATTATTATGAGGTTCAAAAAGTTCGCTACTATTCAGTAATCAATACTGACAGTGCTATGAGGTTTGATTGTTCAATTAAATATTTCAATGAGATAATCTTTTTACACAGTTATATAAATAATGCTTGGCATACTTTCTATGTCGACTATAGTCATGAAAATGAAATTTTAATTTGTACTGGAGTATGCAGTGCACTTAGTAAAAATTATGTCGATATGACATAAACTTGTAATGCCAAGAAATAGTTACTACTTCTCTTAAACCTAATCATGCTCATTATATATCAAGCGATAATAATTAGTGAGCACTTTGAGTTGATTATAATGAAACTATATATTGTAATAATCTAATGGACTATTGCAATTGCGCATTTTAAAAGATTATCATGTAATTGAATTTTATTTTTTGGTGACTTTTCACCATAGTAAACACGTTACAAAAACAACACATTCAATTAATAGCAACTAAAGGTCACAGAAAAGAAAATCATAAAAATTGAGATATTCATTCATATACAGATATAATTAATAAAAACAACAAATCTGACATATTTGAACGTTTTCATTTGCTTTTTTGTTCTATCTTATTAATTTCTTGTATTTTACTTTCAGTCATTGTTAATCTTGTTTCAAGTATTGATACAGTTTTTGTTAATACATCTAATTGTTGAACAATATGATCAATTGTATTTGCTAATTGAAATGAATATGTTTGTTGATTATTCATTTCAATATCATATGTTGAATGAGTATTTCGATTTGTTTTTTTTGATATAGCATTTGGATTAATCAAACTAAGTGAAGTACTTTTCGACTAAAGAAAAAAATGCATCACTCCTTTTTGTGATCTGATAAGAACTGAAATAATCTATGATCGAGTAAGACAAAGAAGAGATCATAGCAAATAATGATAAGTTCTTTGTGTTAAAATCAACAATTACTCAGCGAAATTCAATAATGTCATGCAATGATCTCTGATTTTTATGTCATTCCGGAAATGTTTATCTTACCCGAGAAATGCCATCTTTATAAACTGATCCAATATTTGTTATTTCTACATGATCATCATCATTAAACATAGACATTGTAGATTTTCCATTGAACACATCAATCTAAATATATAAGATAATTGATAAACATCGATATATTATGCTTTTATTTTTATAATTCTAGAATTTTTCAAAAATTTTAACATTTACTTTTCGTGCTTGTCGTTCATCACTTGTTTCTGGTTGAGATTTTTCTTGTAATGATGTTATTTGAGATTTAGTTTGTTCTAGATCTTCTAATGAAATTCGTGTTGTTGTAATATAATCAGTACTATTTGCATATTTATTACTAGTTGAATCAACTGATAGAGACTTTATGTCAAAATTTGTTTTCCAAACAAGTACCTTAGAAAAATAGAAAAAAATATTTAAAAAAAAAAATATATGTATTTAATATATACTTGTTGATCTTGACCACCTGATGCAAAATAATCTCCTTGTTTTGAAAAAGCTGTACTTATGACAGGTCCCTTATTATAAAAACAAGAAATTATAACATGATAATATGAAATAAATATTGAATTTACTTGATGACCATGTAAAGTATAAATAAGATGTCCTTCAAGTAAATCAAAAATTTTTAAAGTAGCATCATTTGATGCTGTTAAAAGATAATTTCCATTTGGATGAAACGAAACATCATTCACGGATGCCACATGATCTATAAAACATAATTTCCAATATTCATAGAAAAAATAAACGGATAATTGAAAAGTTTATAAACAAGATGTTTGTTCATTTTTGACTTGCCAGAAAGTATTTCTAAAAAAGAGAATTTTGTGCTCTTTTCAAATATGGGCTTAGATATTTTGTCTCAATTTTTGTTTAAGAAAAAAGTATGGGACTTTTTGAAAGATTGGAAAAATTATTTTTAATAGTGAGCCAAATAGGCTTTTGTTTACCCAATAAGCCTCTTTCCGAATAGACTAAAAAGCTATTAGCGCAATCTCTGTAGGATTAAAATATGAAATACAATGTAGCTGTTGTTGCTAATCACCGAGAGATTGTTTTTTTTTCTATCTATTTTGGGACACATTTCTTCCTCATCCTTTTACTTAATCCTCTAGAAATGCAAAACTGGAAGTAGTTCATTTAGTACTACGAGACGTTATTGATATATACAGTCAAAGATTGTATATGAACAACATCTGCCATAGTCTATGATGTAGGTGGAAGGATTGGTACGAATTTTTATCGTATATACTTCAGCATTCCTTTTAGATTGTATTTTACAAAATTGTCAAAGTTTGTCAGTATATAGAACGGACACTTCTCTACAAAATATGATATTGAACTAAACTGTAGCTTTTACTCAAGTGAGATTATGAGCATTTCTTTTCCTCAAGAGCTTATTTCAATAATATTTTCTTCCAAACTAATTTTTTCGGTTTTTCAAAAATTTTTTCACTACTCTCGAACAAAAACTTATACAAAATTTCGAAGTCTATATTCGAGGGAAGCACAAACTTATAGCTTTTTTGACTCATTAGATATACCTTCTAGTGGGTCAAAAATGAACAAATCTTGCAAGCCTATTTATCAGTTAGTAGATCAACAATCCAAGGAAATAGATATATTTACTTGCATAATGTTGAATCAATTTTTTTGTTCGTATATCCCAAATTTTAACACTTGAATCTGAACAACCTCCACCAATACAAGTTCCACTTGGATGAAAATTAACATTATTAAGAAATCCATGTGGTTCATAAAATGTATGCATACATTCATTTGTATTTCTATCCCAAATTTTAATTGTTTTATCATCACTACAACTAACAATTAATCTTCCATCAGGTGAAAACTTTGCACAACGAATCCAATTTGAATGTTGATTAAGTGAATATTGAAATTTTTGTCGATGAACAGTCCAAATTTTAATAGTTTTATCTTCTGATGAACTTAATAAACTTTGACCATCATTTGAAAAATCAACACAACGAACAGCAGCTGTATGAGCTTTAAAAACAGTTGATTCACCTTTTACACTTGGAATCCATAAACGAACTGTTTTATCTTTTGAACCCGATACAATTAAATGACCTGATGGAGAAAAACATACAGAATAAACAGCATCCTAAAGAAAAAATACACAATACATTTTTTTTGACCTTTTAAATTATTCAACATACTTTATGACCAACGAAACGATATGCTCGAACTTGAGGTTTAAATGGCCAAACAAAGAGACATGAATCCAAACTACCCGATACTAGAAAATAATGAATCATTTAATTTCAATGCACTTATTATTTCAAAGAATAATAATAATAATAATAATAATTGACATACCGACTTGTTTTGTATTAGGTGAAAAACTAAGAGATGTAACCGTACTGCGATGACTTCTGAATTGTTTTTCTAATTTTGGATCCTCCTAAAAATAAGGAAAAGGAACTAAAGAAGAAAACTATGAGTCATTTTAAAAACGAACCATAATTGTCATAAGATTTGAGCATCGGTCAATGGACATTCTAGAGTGGACATCGGGCAAAAGTCCAGCAAAAATGCTCCAAGACAACCGATGAGGCTCACTTAAAACTCATATAAGCCTTTAACATTGTCAATAAGTTCGAAAATTATCATTAAACAATTTAAATCAAACATTAAAAAATTTATTAAACAGAAAAATAAACTTTTAGAAGATGTCGCTAGTCGATGTGTTACAACTAGAGCCTATCGGATCCAAAATTTCCGAACTCGGATCTGGTTTAGTGAATGTCTTTGGGACGCCGGACCTGGTTGATCAAATATTTTTCCAGCCTTTTGTATTCGATAAGTAGCACACTCTACATATTTCTCAGACGACTAGAACCCATCAGGTCCAAAGTTGTTGAATTCACGTCCAACCCGACGGGCACTAGTCACGACTGAATGTGCTCCAGAATTGAGATCCACTTGAGTATGATGTTTTTATTTATATCTCTATTGAATTTAATCGTAGTTGAAAACAATTGAAATAAATACACATGATTTTTTCATGACCATATACAGAACTAAGTAGCTACTAAAAATTAGATTGTAAATAACAGCATCGAAATATAAATGGAATTTCTTTTATACAGTTATTGATAGCCGAAGAATATGACTATGTGCAATAAGAAAAAAAAACATAGACTGTAATCTTTTATTGAAAAATTTTCATATCTCTAATAACTATTTAAATCTTAAAAAAACTTTGAAGTTTAACGTCAGCATTATTAGCAGATGTTGAAATCCAAACTGTATACACACCTGGAGCAACAGTCCATCTTTGATTAATAACATTCCAATATGAAATATCTTTTTGTGTTAATACTAATGATACTTGTTGCGATTCACCTGGTGCTAAATATACTCTTTCGAAACCTCGTAATACTTTTGGTGGTTCTTGTGCTTCAGCTGGAAATCCAAGATAAAGTTGAGGTACTTCTGAACCATAGACTTTACCAGTATTGATAATAGTGAATGTTATTTCATAGACAGGCATATAAATTCTTGAAGCAGCAATATTAGCATAAGATCTCATTCGTTTTTGTCGATATTGTGATGAAGCAGTATATTTTCCTTTTCTAGCTTTGGAAATATCAAGACTAGAGAAAGAGAAAGTTGTATATGAAAGACCATATCCAAAATGATAACGAAGTTCAATATTATATTTATCAAAGTGACGATAATCTAAGAAAACACCTTCGGTATAATTGGAACTGTATGTATCGCTAATATCAGTACCATAATCAGAATCATTTTTAGCTAATGTAAAAACAAGTTTACCTCCTGGATTGTCATCACCAAAGAGAACATTGGTAATAGCTGGTCCATATTCGGATCCTGGCATACCAGACCAAATAACACTGACTACATTAGGAAGATCAATCCATGCTTCAAGATTAAGTTGTGAAACACTATTGACGATGACTACAGTGTTAGCACAATGAGAAGCAACAGTTTGAACAAGTTTATCACCATTATTTAAAGCATGAAGATCGTTTCTATCTGATCCTTCTGACGACCAAGCACTAATGAAAACAAGACATTTTGCATTATCAAAACCACGATAATTGAATGAATCGTTAATAGCACGGTAATCATTTTGATTCGTAATGTATCGAATTTGAAGATGTGCATCTCGACCTTTCATTAAAAGCGAAGTAAGAGGATCAATACCATAAGTCGGATCAACAAAGCCTGAACCTCCACCTTGATATAATGCACCTGCATGTTGTTCCGAACCACCTGAACTAAAACCTTCATCAGATTGACCTGCTGCTGTTCCATAAATAAAAAAGTATTTATCTGTAGTAACATTGAATGGTAAAACATTGTTCTTGTTTTTGAGCAAAACAATGCCTGCAGTACCAACTTGTCGATTAATCATGTAATTATTTCCAATAGCATCTCGATCTAAATCAAGTGATGGATATCCGTGATCTTGTTCAAGAAGATAATAAGGTGCTAAAATTCGAGTAATCATATCATTAATTCTTGCTTCAGTAATAACTCCACTTTTAACAGCTTGTACAAGTGCAAAACCCATTAGTCCATCACCACCTGGCATATCTACGTCTAAACCTCCTACGACTGATTCGACACCAGTTTTTGTTGCACCCCAATCAGACATAACATTGCCAGGAAATTCAAGTTCTTCTTTCAAAAGTCCATTTAATGTTTTATCATTTTGACAAGCTTGTGTACCATTAATTTGATTATATGAACACATAATAGAGCCTACACCAGCAGCTACACTTGAGGCAAATGGCCAAAGATAAATTTCATGCATTGTCTTATCATCAAGATTGGCTGAATAACCTTTGGAATTACTAGGACCTGATCGATATATTATACCTGGTGTATTATAGTAACGATTGGTTTCTTGTTCATTACAGATATAATGTTTAGCAGTTGCAACAACACCTTGATCTTGAACACCTTGAACATAATAATATGAATTTTCTCCGGAAAGATACGGATCAGCACCAAATCCTTCCCAATTACGACCGTGTCGAGCATTTCGATCAATATTCATCATTGGACCCAAAGCAAAATGGACTCCTTTACCTTGAAATTCTTTACCTATTGCAACACCACGTCTATAGAACAAGTCTCGATCCCAAGTAGCTGCGATATGTATACCAGCTGCAAATGCAGTTGAATGTAGAACACCATCACCAACGCCAGATGGTGAGTCTTGGAAACACAATCCATTAAAATTCAAACGTGATACAGGTAAAACATTACCAACACATGGACCTCCAATACCAGATGTCATGTTGCACTTTTCTTCTAATGTTAATTGTGCAACAAATGACTTAGCCATTGCGATGGCTTGATCCCATGTTCTACTTGAAACTTTCGAATACTTCTTCGATTTAGAATCAACCACGACCGAATATGTAAATGAGAAACCAACAACAATAATAATTATCAAGAGACGATTACCAAGCATTTTTGATGACAATACTTGGTTTGATGTCTTACAATGTGTATTTATATACCACGAGAAGTCTGTACTTTTTATTTTATCTATTTCACTTCAATATCAAGATAAATGTATATAGTGGTTGCGTTTGGCTATTAGTGAAGTGATGTACGAGATATTCTTGCTGATAAAAATATATGATACAAGATATTTTAAATTTTTCTTGCATAGATCGCAAACACACTTAAGAATATGTAACTTTCCGAGATGCTTATTATATATATATATATATATATATGGAATTTAAGATAATGATAACCTGGTTAAGATAAAAAATGTTGCATTATAATGAATCTATTTGCAATGTTCTTTTGATGAAAGATAAAACCAATGGTTGCATTCTTTATAGCTATTAGTTAGGAACACTGCATAGTATCAAAGAAATATGAAATAAAAATAAGGTAAGGTGCAACTAATTCGAAATTTGAGCACTCTTCATTTTTTCTTTAGACATACATTTCTAGATTCAATTTTTAATGCTAATTACGAATATTTTCTTATTTTTTCGATTTGACAAAGTTTTCATAGAGAAAATCGCAAAATACTAATGGAGTGTCAAAATTAATAAAAACAGCCTATCTATGGAAAATCAGCATTTAATNAAATAGATCTAAGGTATCTTTCCTTTCGAGGTGTTCACGTAGTTTACAGGGAGCCGAAATTTTAGAGAATGAATTATACCCATGTTCTGTTCGTATTTCAAGCATGCTTGATCAATTTTTTTTTGTACATTACTCATCTACACGAAAGACAACAATGCACAGCGAATAGGCATTTTTCATGTTTCTTTTTCACTAACATACGTTGACAACACATGCGAATCTCTGAAGTTCTCCCAAAAGTCACCTTGAATACAATAACACATCTACTCAGGTGTCTTTGTACTATTTTTCGAAAATTAAAGTTCTAGCAATATTGAGTATTGTTGACAACAACTATGTAGAAAAGCACAGTGAAATATCTGTCACAATCTGTGAGGTTAGGATGAGTATCTGTCGGGGTCTATGTGACGAGATTGAAGATTCAAATTTCTCTCTATATACTTCAGTATATATTTGAAAAATATAAAATATTTATTTAAATAAATACACGTTTAAATGCAAGACGGGTCATCAGAGCCTCTGGTGGGGGCTAAAATGTGGAACTTACATTCAGTCACCCTTGAAGCTAGACAATAGATTTAAAAGAAGTGGAAATCACTTTCGAAATCGACAATAGATATAATCGAACGCATTTTGCTCTTTCTGTTCAATTTGAATATCTTCTGAATCTTTTCATTCTTCTTCAATTGTTCATATGCTGCAGCCGGCCATCTCTGGTTTCTACTCGTTTTTGTTAGTGACCATTTATTTGGTTTGAATTTTATGCTATCGTTCGTTTTCCTACCGCACGGCGTCGAAATATGCGGTCACGCATTCGAAGTCTTATAGAGTGTGGATGTGGATGCTGGGTGATTGTAAGTAAAGAGTGGATCCATACTTTTAATAATCTCTAACTATAACACATATGGTTTGTATGCTGATGATGATCAAACCCTCTATTTTGCTGATTTAATCAATAATTATATTACAGAATAGAAATGTAGTACGGCATGTGAGAGAATAGTTGTTGATAATAATAGATCTCAAAATAAAGTTTACCAATTGAACATTCCGACAGATGTAATTATTGATAGAGAAAAGAGCGCTCTCATAATTTATGATTGTGACAATATAAGAATATAAAGGCAAAAAGTCAGCACTTGCACGCATGATATTTTCACCAAGATCATGTCCATCTCATGGAGTCCAATCGGAATATGTTAGGTACTATATATTTGAAGTATAAAAAAAAACCGATGAGCACCTTTCGTGTCTTATATGTATAACATATTAATAATTTCAAGATCATGTTGTTCCTCCAAGAAACACAATAAACACGATTAACTGATACGCCTGGTTCGGTATGAAAAGTTTCTATTCACATGACTTTATGTGAAATTATAAATCAATATTATTTTAAATCTATATGTCTTACACATCGTTATTTAATTAAATTATATGCAATACATTTTTGATGATTTCTTTTGCTTAATTAGATTTTCTAAGTCATAATCTATGTTTAGTATTTTATTCACATATTTTCATATCATTAGAGGAATCATTGCTACCTAGATTATTTGTAACTGAGCAATGATATAGTCATTACAACATCCTTAATGAATTATTAACTTTCAAACTGTTAGTATTCTTTGTCAATATCCATTGATGTAAGTTTTAACCACCATAAAATTCTAATACTTACAGGTCTCTCAAAACAATAAGAAGAACAAAATACTAAAGAAAATCTATTACTCGTCCTTATTTATCAAGAATTAGATAGACTTTCCACAACTTTGAATGAAAAGTATATAATCATTATGATCATTATAATATATTATTTTGAGAGTAATTGATGATTCATAAAAACAAATAAATAAAACTTGTCAGTGCGGCCCCAGCAGAAACCAAAGTGTAGGACTCAGAAACTCTGATTGTCATAAATGAATAGCTTGCAATCAGAGAGGTCAAAATAATTCATTTTAAAAAATGTCAAATAAATGAATAAATCAAAATGGTAAAAATTTTTATAGTTCATACGTGTGCTCTGAAATTTTTATCATTTCGAAAATTTTTGCATTTAAAATTTCTATCTGCTACCGTCTCTTGACCAGCTTTTGACATATACTGTTGAGTTTTGCTTAAACTTAGAATTCAATGAATTCATACTTTCGTATGTCCATCCTATTCTAACTCTGTTAGATAAATAAAAGTACCGCTCTACTGATTGACATCCACAATAAGACCCTTTCGTTATACGAAGCACTAAAACTCGAAAATATTTAGACTAGTTAGAATCTACAGTAGAAATCTTAGATTCATGGAATGCTTTGAAGGTTTATTGAAAGTTCCAGAATGATCTAAGCGCTTTTATTACTGATGTAACACTTCCTGTTGCTAGGGAAAGGTATCCAATGATCGTTGGCTTCGTTCTTCCGGGTTGGTCGAGCCTAGAGGGAGAGCCGCAAAAATCTCGATTTAAAGTTATATTCGCTATATTTTCTTCGAAAATACATGTAAGTTTCACAAAAGAATTAACACATGTATGAAGGAAAGCTTTTATTTTCCTTGCAAGAGAAAGTTTTTCTCATTGAATAGAAACTTATCAATAGTCTAATTTTCATCGTTCGATAATGAATGTTTTATCTCTAGTTCTACTAATGAGAGAAGATTATTGACTTCATTGAATTCTTTTTTTAATGGATTTTCTTCCATTGTTCGATATCGATCATAAAGTGTATATGCCCAACTAAGACGATTGTAAGCAGCGGAATTTTTTGGAGGTTTAGCTGCAAGTAGACGTTTGCTTTCGAGAACAAAATAATCAGCTATATCACGTATTAACCGTACTAATAAATCTTTATCAAATACGAATGGTGGTGCAAGATATTCGAGATATTGTCTCATCCAATCAGCATTACGCCCAATATCATGACAAAACACATAAATCGATTGATACGGTTCGTTTGTAACTGGATCAATCAAAATATTTTTTGCATTTCTCCATTATTAATGGTACAGCTGCTCTTCCTATTTGTCCTGATGGTATTAAAAAGATTCGTTTTTCTTGATTATTTTGCAAAAACTTGACACAACGTTCAACATTTGAGAATGCTGCTAATAAAAACTTGACACCTTCAAATTTGACTTCTTCAAAGCCTACTGTACGATTAATTGCTTCATCATCTTTGTCGATTAATCGTACTGGATTAACACTTTCTGGATCAGCTGTACTTGAGAAAGCAGCTTTTAAACGTTGATAATCTTCTCGTCTTCCTATGTGTAAATCAAGCCAAACAATCATATGATTTGGAGTTTCCTCATTTGATGCAAGAGCATCATTACACATTTTTTATCTACAATGTAAATAGAAAAAACGTAAAACCAATATTGAAAAAACAAAACAAATTAAGTATGCACTTTAACAATATAACTTACTAGATGTTGTCTCTATTTTCTTGTCTTATCTATCCTGAAGTAATTGAAAAGCGATTTTAAGACATACATATCAGGCAAAGTTGAGATTAAGGCAAAAATTAAACAGAGTTCTAAAAAAATTTGAAAAAAGATGAGAACAAAAAACTGATTTTATATATTTATATTGAACTATGTTTAACTTTAATTGAAATTTAGTTTGTCTTAACGCTGTTTTCGACCAAAAACAGTACGAAAGGATCTCTAAACTTATGTTTATCAGAATAGTATTGTTCATCGATGTTTATCTATCTTTGAATTTGACCTCGCTCATAGATGATATTTAAAGTATAAATATATTATACTGTTAAGTTTTATTGACTTAGATTCCAACCAAAAACCAATGAAGGACATTTTAGCTTATGTATTCTTTATGGTCGAATAATATAATTCTCTCAAAATTTGATGCTCAAAAAATAAATGTGTTGACTTGCTTGTTCATAAGAATAGATAACCGGAATTGCGCCAATAGAAAGGAAAAAATATTCCTGCCTTCAGATATTTGCGGTATGAAGTGCTACCTAGTGGCAGATTCAATAGTCCGATATCTTCCCTACAAATATGATTAGCTGTAGCGCGGGATAGAAAGTTATACTGACTTAAAGTTCTTGTGGCAGGTGTATACCACTACGCAGTCAGCGTACTATTGGATGATTGATCCGAGACAAATGGTCGTTAGTGAGTTGTCCAGTGTTATTCTATGGCAGGTGGTGCTGAAGTTTGAATACGTTACTTCGTGAATACGTGTCGAACACACGTAGTCACTCAGTCATGGCAGTTCTCGCCAATGTGATATTCGCCAATTGCTGAAACTCCAGGGAATGTGTTGGCGAATATAGGTTGAACTTTTGCAAGTTGTCATGAAACAATATTAATGTAGAATATGTGTAAGGGCTGAAGCTAATAGCGTTAGACTATATATAGCACAGTTTACATTCAGAGTATGTTCAAATATGAGCAAATCATGTTCTTGATAAGAAAACAAGTCAGATTAATATGGAAAAAAAAGACAAATAAACCATAATTGTTGAATTTGTTGACAATGTTGTTCCTTTAACGATCTGAGATCGTAATGCAGCAGTGCAAGTTGTGACAGGCATCAATCAAACAATTATTATCTAAAACAACACATGAAATTTATGGCTACGATATAGACGGATATATCCTATGAATGTAGTCAATAGAAATTTTTTAAATCCACATTTAATTCACCGTCAAATCAGCAAAATTCCGGAAAACAAAAGCTGCCTGAGTTTATTTTTATTTAAAATTCAATTTTGCCTGTGAGACATATGTATTAGTTCCACAAAAATAAAACTTTAATAGTTGGCTATACTCAATTCTTACCGTTGAATATTTGATATAGAATAATCACTGAAAAATTGCGCATAATTCATTAAATAATTCTTCCTTTATCAATTGAATTAAACAGAAATAAGGAAGATAGATTTTGCCCATCGATTTGTTGTGTCCTTGAACTGTTTCATCAAACCAAATTTATATCTATAATTTTACGTGTGTGTCAAGAATGATTACGCAAAAAAAAAAGAACAGAAAAAGCGAAACACAAAATTGTCAAGAGTAATATGGTAAAAGGAAAAAACATGAGTTGACCTGTTTCTCTTGTTGTCTGTTAAAAGCTTCTTAACTGTAATTAAAACGTTGCTTTTTTTTGTCGTTCTTTCAACATCACGAGACGGTTATTTACTATTTAAAAACACCCATGAAAATGGTACACAGACGGTAAACAAAACAAAAAACGAACAAAGTAATGTAAACGACCTGAAGAAGACAAGTATTACAAATAATTAATGATGTTATTATTCTTATGATTATTCTTCTCGTGTTTGTTGAATCAATCGAGTACTTTTATTATCACCATCAAGTTGTTTAAGATATATAAGATATTGATCATGCAATATATCTATTGGATTAATTGTGACATTTCGAATCTTTGAATATTCAAAATATTTAAGTACATTCTTGGTATCATTTATTTTCATATATTTTTCTCGTTGTTTAAAAATAGTTTCCGCTATTTGACATTCAAATTGAATAAGAAAATTGTTTTTTTTATTGAGCATCTGCAAAAAAAGATACATATCACAACAAAATATAACGTAATTGATAATCTTTGCAGTGAATATATAAAATCGATAAACATAAGAATAATTGTGATTGATTTCTGAAATTCGTGTTCTTTTCTTCATCAAGAGATCTTGATGAAATAACAATATCTAATTCATTTATTATTCTGAACTTTGATAAGCTTCATTCTATGATTATGTGTATGAATATACAGAATAGGAGCTGCATTTCTATTCTAGAGTTGAAATAAGTACATAAATTGTATCCGATGGAACTGTAGTCGTTTGTTTTAGGTTTATTTTTTGATGTTTAATATTCTTCATGTTTATTGAAATATTAATCTAATAAGATAATTCAAACAACATAAGCTACTGTGCTTCTAATTGAAGTAATAAAACATCAATTAAAAGTTTCAAGTCATACTAACAAATATTAGTAAAGTAATTCGTGTTTTTATGAAAAAATAAAACAGTACAGATCAATAATTTATGCATATTCGTCTATAGTGATAAATATTTCTTCGTGTTCTCTTCCATTAACTATAAAAACCATGTCTTAATATGATAAACAAAAAATAAAAAGCGACGAGGCCATAATATCAAGGACATAGGGTAAATATTTTTCTTTTCTATTACTTATTCAATTAGACAGACAACAAATACATCACACGTCGAGACGGAGAAAAACCAGTAGAAGGAGCCATTCTTAAGAGAAGGATTTAAAAAAGAGTAAAAGAAATAATCATTCAGGAGAAAAGAATCCAGGCCTTTTCACTCTGATCCCCTTCAATAGAGAAAAAAACCGTGTTCTATGTATAGATATAATCATATTTGAAAATCTACTATTCGTCATTAAATATTTCTCATTAATTTTTGTAGATTACATGATGAATAATGTCTGCAATATATTTATGTAACATAGAAAGCAAAAACGTCATTAATCAATATCAATCGAATTCTGAATTCATTTTTTTCTGAACTATACTTCGCGTATTTAGTGTCGATGTATTGTCTACAACTGTATTTTACATCTCTTTCAATTGTTTATATTTTGTAAAAGGTTCCTAAAGAATATAAACAGTAATAAAAATAAATATTGATTTATAGACACAAATGAGATGCACGTTTGAATATAAGTAAAATACCGATCGTGAACATTGTATTCAGCTATAAAGTTTAATAGTACCATGAAGAATTGTCATAATCTATATTTCAAAGCTCTATTATATTTATCGCCGTTTTGTTATTCAGGGCCGGCTGCAAAATGTAATTATTTGTTGTAACAGCAATCAAACAAAGAACTTCTTTTAAATTTATTGACAGATTGTCAACATTTATTAATCAATTGAATCACCAATAACAACAATTTCAAATAATAGATGGTAAATTCACTACAATGATTCATGTCTCCTTCATCAAATATTTGTAGATTAAAATGATTATTACCTAGATCAACATCAATATTGATCACTTGTACAATCATTTGCATATCAATAACAGGACCTCATGCAAATAAAAATGGATAAGTAGCATAAAATCAGTCCCATTCAGTACGATTTGAATTCAAAAATAGTTGCATTATGTTAAAAATTAAAAAGAAAATACATACAGTAATAAGAACATTTGCATAACTATATGCAAGAGTATCATTGACATTTGACAGTTGTTGAATGTTACATATACAAACAGTGTAACTATTGCAGTTGAACTGAGTATCAATATTGACAGTAGTTATTCCATCTATTCAATACAGTTGTATACAATTTATGATAGAAAAACTCTCTGTTCAATCATAAACGAATTTGTAATAATCCTAATATCGATTAATGACACTGTCACCAGTAGATATGTGTGGGACCAAAAAATAAAACTTTACCGGGATTATGAGAAAAAAAAGTTACCTGATCGGAGCTGAAGTTTCTGATAAAATACTCTATAATTTCAAATGAATTATTTTAAAAATGATATGAATCAGAATATAATTCAAGAGAGATGACCCAAAAGAATTGCTAGTCATCGAGTGAATAAATAAAAAGAATGAGTATTAAAGAATTATTGTAGATGTGATACGAATAAATTCTGAAATGATTTTCTCTAGACCAGGACTGGAACCAAAAAACTTGCTCCCGCACATCTCTAGTCACGACGGTTAACATTGTTAGACGATAGTGTTGTCGAGTTAACGGTACTGCTTACAAATAAAGATGAAGAATTTGATGGTCTACATATCGAAGTACATCGAAAATAATACTCAAGACTCGTTCTCTTATAAGTACATATCGAATTAATACAACATGATGGTTCACTCAAAGACAGATCACCACATTGTTTTTATACTTCATTGCAATTACCTATCAAAACAAAAATATGATTGAATTATATAAACACTAGAAACAAATAATAGAATAAAACAAAACAAACTAGTGAATAAATAATTATATATTTATATCATCATCCATTTCGATGCAATCCAACAACAAAATTTCATTTCTTTCCAGTTTACTCGACATCGATCTATCATATTGTGTATTATTTCAAGCATTCAAACACATTGAATAATTGTAATAAGTAGTCTTTGGATAATGTCATAATCTATTAGTACAAAACAAAAAACGATATTATACAAATAAATTAACATTGTATGTTTGATTATAATCAGCATAGACGGAAACATCATGACGAAAACTATTCAAATGTTATGTCAACGATAAAAAAAAAGAATCTTTGTAAATACGAAATATGAAAAGTCAAGTTGAATTATTCATAATTGTACGACATTTAGCGTTTG